TCTTCCCAGTGAGCATCGCTCTAAAGTGAACCCGAGGGAGGGCTATACAACTCAGTGGCAGAGTGCATGCTGAGCACGCACAAGGTCCTGGGTTCAATCCCCAGCGCCTCCATTATAAAAAAAAAATCTTGTACGTTTAAGAAATAAAAAATAAAATAAAATGAACATGATGAGGAAGAGAGGAATCTGCTACAACCCCAGCCAGTTGGGTACCACGTCTCTCCTACACTGTTTGACTATAAAGGTTAAATGCGCATCTTTTCTCACATGCTGTGGCCCCAGATAAAGTCCAGGACAACCAGGACCTGTCTTTGGTTACTTGACCAAAACTCCATTAGGGCAAAGAATCATAAAAATCAACCCATCAATAAAACATACGCAACTTTAATCATTTATTTTAACTAAGAGCACAAACAGAAACCACCACGTTTGGAGATGGGTTCTTGATACTGCGTGCAACCTCGACTCTGTGACTTCAAAAAGGAAACGGCTGAGACAATTGTGTGCCCTTGAATGGTGCTTCTTACCGAACTTTCAGCATTTTGGAGTGCCACAGGCGATGAAACACACGTTTTGTCAGGCATACACTTAATCATTATGTTTCTGTTTTGATAGACCCATGAGTATTCTCTTCTAGGATCAAAAATACTATGTTAATTCTTATATATGGTTCTTAAGATGACCTCATAGTTAATATTCTTAATGTACGTCTGGCATTTTAATATTTTTTAAACATTTTACCAGAGAATTCTATTTGGAGGAATAGTTTGGTTACGTTAGTTGCCAAAATACACACACGTAGCAGGAAGAAATATGAAGGATTTGTGCCACACTAGTAATCTGAGACCTCAAGCAGCACGTGGTACTCACGCCCCCTGCAACACTAACATGCAGACCAGGAGACACTGAGTCACCACTTGCCGTGGCGAAGGAATTGTTCCCACCATCAACCCAACATCAACCCAAAGGAGGAGATGAAAAGTTCATTTTTTATTCTAAATCTGAAAACAAATATAGTTGATAGATTATAGCTGGGAAGCAATAAAAAGAAATGCTCAAGTCCTGCCTTTGAGATAAAAGGCCTCAGGTGCAAGAAAGAGGAGACTGGTACTTATTTGCAAAGCAGGTGAGCTGGTTTTCACCCTGCCTCCCCACCTACCTTCGCCCCCCCACCCCACCGCCCACTCCCCTCTGCCATTTCAACAGGGTTCGAGCATGTCTCAGAGAGAGAGCAGAATCCAACTGAGATTAAAAGATGTAAAGAAGGAGCAGTGGGGATTCTTTTAGTCTTTTCCACCTCTAGCCAAACTAAGGGATTGATGTGGTACCAGGGCATTCTCCTGTGATGTTTGGAATGTCTGGGGGTGAAAAAAGACTGCTAGTACATTTTTCAGATATAGGTAGAGAGCAGCAGTTTGCAAACCTATGCAACGCCAGGAGACTAGAAGGAAACACGAGTGTTTTGGCACTTGGGCACAGACACGAGAGGTGCTCCCACCTCATTGGCATCAGCAGTGAGCAATCCTAGGAGCCCATCTGGGACAGACCCTTCAGTGGGAAGTAGGGGGAGAATGCAGCCACCTGTGGGGCGAGAAGAGGGATGGACAGTTGCTTCTGCGTGAATCCTCCAGGGGTCAGCCAGAGTAGGATAACAGACTAAAGGAATATTTGCAGGACAGAAAATGCATGGTGACTTCTCTGCAATCCACATCACGAGAGTAACTTCCCCTCCCCCGAGTGTCACTGAGAAGTTAGGTCAGGAGAAAGGGAGAGGAAGAAACTTTGCTCAGAGAAAACACTCTTGAAACAGTTAAATATTGAACTAGTCAAACTATGAACTGGACTATGTCCATTTCTTAGGTCTTAACCAAGAAATCTGTGTATTGGAGAGGTTTTACTTGAAAACAAGCTGAAGACTCAGGGCAGGAATGAAAGTCAGTTTAGAAAGAAAGTTACTTTTTGGAACAAAAATGCAGGACCATGGAGTTAATACCAATTATATGTATATACGACACAGTGCAGGCTGATCTAGTAATTTCCCAGACACACAATTTTGGGCCTGACTACTTTGGAAGTGAGTGAATGAGATGAGTGCATGATTTAAAAAAAAAGAAGAAGAATTAAAAGGAGGATTTGATAGAGAACAGAAGCACTGTCTAATGACAGAGTTTGTTTTGCCAAGAAGACCCAGAAGGCATGAGACCATGCCAGGTAATTCAAGGGTTTGAATTGTCAGTCTGTTAAAGATTAACCCCTCCTTGTACAACAGCGACTCAAGTTGATTTCTGATTCAAAATCTGAGAACAAATATAGATGGTTCGTGGATGTAAGACATTTCCCTGTCAACTGAGACCTGGCCCCTCCGTTAAGATCCACTTTACTTGTTGGCAAAAGTGCCACTTGAGAGAATTACGGTAATCCAACCGGGCTGCAGCCAAAGCAGGCAATTTCGCTTCCAAATCCACCGGAGCCAATCAGGGTTTCTTTCCCTCTATATTTTGAGGATGATAATATGTACGTTAACTATATTTAAAATATTCTTTTCAAAGCTAACAAAAGAAAGCTGCCATTCCTCCCCACCCCACCCCCTCATGAGAAAAACAGAAGAAAAGCAAAATCAAAGCCCCTTTGGCTAAAATCTGTGAAAATCAGGCTTCGGTTAGTTGTTTTTACTGCCAAAAATCAAATAACTGTCCCCTCCCACCTTTTCACCTCCTCCTGTTCTGGCTTCTGTCCCCTGGAAATCATCCGGGATTCAAGCTTCCGGGTAAATGGAACCTGGGGGTGGGGGCAGGCACCGGGGGTGGGTGCGGTGGGGAGGGAGGAGGAAGAGGCTGCCTGGCCGTGGTCAGAATCAAAACATCTGTAAAGGTGAGCATCACCTGCGAGCCCAACGCTGCTGCTCGGGAATGACTCCGAAGGGCAGAGCAGAAACAGCAAACGATAAACACGCAGGTACCGGGGGGGCAGCAGGTGGAACAGGTGTGGAGAGATGGGCACCTCCAATGTCAAGGTGAAATCAGTCACTCGGATATTTTTTAGAGAAAGCTAACAGGCTGCCTGAGAGGCCCGTGCGGCTCTTGAAGTGAGAAATACTCCTGGATTGTTATGATTTATCTGAAGCCCCAGGTGTGCACTGAGCTCCATAATAGGCAGTACCTGCCAAAGCAAAGAGCAGAGCCCCTGCCCTGAAGAGTTTGCCATCTAAAGGCACCTTTGGGTATAGTTACATGCCCCAAGCCGGCAAGGCAGAAAATAAACACAGCACAGACAGACACCAAGAAATAGATCTTGGCTGAATGTGTCAAAGCTTCTGGAAACAGGAGGGTTTCGAGAGTTGTGGCTCTCCTTCCGTGTTGTGTTGGATTAAAAAAGAGAGGGACAAAGGAAAGCAAAACACTGCTGTTACCGTAAGGATTTAAAGAGCTCTTGACAGGGGACAGCAATGCACTAAATACAAAGAGATGATTTTAAATAAGATCTGCAATATAGTCATGTACATTTGGTTCCAAAATTGAAGGAAGTTTAGAAGCTGTCACAAGCCAACATCATCAACACCATGAACTGCCCAAACATAAGCTGATCTTTAGAGGAACTGGTAAAGGACTGTCTCGAAGGAGCAAGATGATGGTTTGGCTCAGGGCAGCCTCTAAGCAGGGCTGGCTCAGATGGGGCACCAGGATCAGGTCCCTGGGATGTCATGTGGTGCAGTGGTCGAGACCAGCTTGTGGACACAAATCAGCAGATTCTAGATCAGAGCTCTACTTGCCACTAACTTGGGAAAGTTAGCTTATTTCTCTGTTACGAGTACTTCATTTGTTGAAAGAAAGGATGGAAGGAAGAAAGGAAGGAAGGAAGGGAGGAAGGAAGGGAGGAAGAAAAGAGAGAAAGAGAGAAAGAGAGAAAGAGAGAAAGAAAGAAAGAAAGAAAGAAAGAAAGAAAGAAAGAAAGAAAGAAAGAAAGAAAGAAAGAAAGAAAGAAAGAAAGAAAGAAAGAAAGAAAGAAAGAAAGAAAAAGAAAATGAGGGAAAGAAAGTGAGGGAGGGAAGGAGGGAGGGAAGGAGGGAAGGAAGAAAGAAGTAGAACAGAAAAGAAGATGCTAATAACACCTAATTTTATGGGAACATCCCAGTCTCAGCACAGCACGCGGCACAGTTATTATAGCTGGCCCCCCGACGCACTGGCATCCTCACCTTCCGCTCTGCACTGAGTGTCTGCTTTTGTAGCTGGGTCTCCCCAAGCCCTATTCCTGAGCCTCGGCTCTGATAACCTGCTTCAGGCGTCCTCAGGGTGGGCAGCAAGCCCGATGGAGCAGAGACGCCCCATGAAATGCCCCTCCCGAGGTCTTCTCTGTTCTTAATTTTTACCGTGGTGAAAACCCTCCCGTATTTTCCTTTCCACACGAGAAAACAGAACCAGGACTTTTATTTCACAATTGACATCCCTGAATCTGCGTGTTCTCATTGTTCATGATGACTTCGCTTTCAACAGTTTCAAAAATGTTTCTTTCTCTGTGACTTCGACACACTGGGATGGGCACCCTGCAGGGCAACTTTGTCTCGCAGAGCCTCCTACCACCCCTCTGGCCCTTGCCTTGGATGGTGTCCTGTCTATTTCTCCCCACTTTTCCTTCCGGGGCCTGAGCATGGCCATTTGTTGGCAGGACCTCCCTGGATGCCGCCCCACCCCGGTGCTCCATCCACCGGTCAGCATACACCCCTCCTCCTGGGATCCTCTTGCCGGGGCCTTGCAATCTCTGCATTCCTTTAGGCACAGGGCTCCCCTGCACAGGGAGCCTACAGTGGGGCCTATGCTGCCAGGATCTCGTGCCAGCCCGGCCACGCCATTGGTGGTCTGCTCCACCAATCCCCCATAGCCCATTTTCAGCAAATCACTGCTCCGCCGTGCCTGCCCCGCTCAGTGGACACTTCTCTGATCACAGGCCGGGACGTACCCCAGCAAGACATCTTACTCTCCTCTCAAATCCTGATCACACATGACCTCCAACATCCTCTCACTGCCCATTAGCTGCCATATGGGAGAGAATTCTGTATCAACCGAAGACAAACTTCAACTCCATCGCCTCGTGGAATGCCACATGTTGGTTCCAGTGTTATTAAAAGCCATTAGCGTTGACGGAGCACTGCCATGACATTCTCTGACTGGCGTTTGCTACTTTTCCCGGTGATTGTGCCATCCCAGCCTGCTCAGCGTCAGAGCAGCACAGCCTCCTCGTGCCCGCGACGTGCCGTCTTCCTCCTTCCTCGTCATTGGATGACTTTTCACTTGGCCTTTTCTGCAGAGCAGCCCCTCAGAATATGCCATCTGGAAAAAAGGAGAACGGAAACACTGCTTTAAATTAAAAAAGAAAAAAAATGTAAAGAGATTTCTCATCACCCTGAATTAGATTCAATTTTCCCCCTCTGTCTCCACCCTCCCAGGGGCTGGCACCCTCTTCAGAAGCTGTTCCTATTTCTTCTAACTATGACTGGGGTGGGGGTGGAGGGACAGGGAGGCAGGAAGGGAGGGAGGGAGAGAGTGAGTAAGAGAGAGTGTCATCCAATGCATTGGCTAGATTTGGCTGGATTGATGTCACTGCTCATTAAGGAAACAGGCAATCTGCTTCTCATTCTCATTGGAGAAAATAAATCTGCACAGAACCCAGCCAAATAACGTGTAGCAAATGATCAATGTTATCCGAGGGAGAAGATGATTGATCCTTTATTTCTTACACCCTCTCATGCATAATGCATCAGATCCAGGATGTCCTCGCTCGCCTCAGGACCTAGCCATGATGTACCGCATTACCATGCACAACGCTCACTCTGAATTTCTAGTGACAATCTCCACATCCCTGAGCTACCAGGAGCCAAGAATGCTTCAGCATTCAAGAGTCTCTGATAGCGGCGGGATGGATTTTCAAATCCCTTCCAGGCCTTTTTACAAACACATGCGTGACTCATGGAAAGTCTCAGAGACCTCAGGCCTCAATATCCCCTAATGCAAAAAAAAGAAAAAAAAAAGAATCGGAAAGATTGGCGTCTTTCTGAATAGCAGATAAAAGATTAGAAAAGACAGGAACCTTTTGAAGAACCAACAATGAAGGAGACGGTGAAAGTGGAAAATGAATCGTGTTGACTTTTTGCAATAGTGATCAGGTTTCAGAGAACAGAGGTAATCATTTGTGATTTTGGAGGAAACTGGCTCCCTAAAAGTTTTTTAAGCTGATATTGTTTTGCAGCTGTTCCTCCACACTCATTAAAAGAATGATGGTGATGATGATGAAGACAATAATGACATCTAATATGTTTAGACACCTATTCGACAGGCTTTGAGTTAATAAGCACAGTCCACGTGTTATCTCCTATAACGCAAACTGAGGCTAACAGAACTTCGTTAACTTGCCCCAGAGTTCACGGCTAATAACCAACAGATTCCAGGAACCAACACCAGTCATCTGTACATAGAAATGCTACTATGGTGAGAATGGGGCCAAAATGGAAAAATCAGAGTGAAGTATCAAAGTGTAACTGGCCATCTGCTGGCAGAAGAAGTTTTAATAATTTCCACTTCTCCCTTTTGTCTCCCCAGCCAAGGGGTGGTAGCAGCTTCCTGCATCATCACCTCCATGACACCCTAGAGGTTCATTTATAACCTTTTCATTTCTCCAATCCCAGGTTAACAACTCTTAACATGAAATTCTCTCTGTTAATATCACTGGTATGGTTGCTGCCTTCTGACTGGAACGCACAGGATACAACCCTCAATTCAGAGACGAGAGTAAGTTGCTCACGTTCACTCCTGAGCTGATTAGAGTCGTTGAGGTGAACTCCAACCTCGGGGCTGTCTGGTTCTCCAATTTCCCATGATGTCTCCCCAAATAAAGCAATTGCGTCCATTTTTGCCTGTGTTGAATAAAACGACATGCGTGGAAAGTGTACCTCATGCAGATTAAAGCCCAGTAATAGCAGGACGCTGTGTAAAGTGATGGCACTGCATGCACTGAATTTCTCAGCAGTATTTTTAATAATAATAATGACTGTCCTGTACACAAAGTGGATTCCATTGCACTGAAATGCCTTGTTCAGTGACTTAGCTTGCTTCTGTGTTCAATACAACATTAAGTCTCTCTCCCAGTACAAGAAAAGACTGTGCAACCCTCTGCTGGCATGTACACAACACCTGGATAGTTCTAGTTCTGCAAAGAAACTCTGGGCAGAGGGCAAGAAATAGGTTGCAACCCGAGCCTTCATCCATCTCATAATAAAAGAGGCATCCGAAATTTCAAAAAGGTCTTGTTGATTTGTCACTTATATCTAGCAGGACTCCACAATGGAATGACAGACACCCCAGAGGCCAGGAGCGTGGAGGATTAAAGGGCATACCGTGTGCACCAAAAGCGACGGAGACCTCAGGCCCACTAGCCCAGCAGGGTGATTACTGACGCTGCAGCTACACCGTAAGACTTAAGACGGTTGATGAATCCAAAGACTAAGAGTATCAGTCCAGAAGCCAAGAAGTCAGAAACTACTCCCAGACGAGAACATTAAGGCATCACCAGGACATGATACGTAACAGGACAAGCGACTTTATTTGAGTAAATAGGCATAGAAATATTTGCAAGTCTCATATTATGTTAACCCAGGTCCGCAGCATACATATTAAAATGAAAGACGTTCTTATGCCCCTTGAGATTGAGACATACACACACACGCACAGTTTCTTTCTCGTTTCTTAGAAAATTTTGCTGTTTTCCAAAGCACAGTATGTCTTGCTTTTGACTGTGCATTAAAGTAGAAATACCTATCTTTTCTCATTACATTAGCAAATGTACCCAAAGGCCATACTGCAGCGAGCGCATCCAAAACACACGACAAACTCACCTTTATTTCTAGGAAGTCCTAACAGAGCGCAGGGAACACAACGAGTCATTTGACCAACCTGATGGCCTAAACCACAGGGAAAGGTCGAGTAGGGGACTGTAGAGAGTCATTGTCACCCTCTTCCATTGTAATGCTTCATTCTGAGTAAGTGCCCTTGGCAGCACCTACCACAATGTCATGCATCCAGCAGATACCTAATAAATTCTGTCTGCCTCTGACAGCGCTGCCAGAACACAAAGGCGTTATAATGAATAGTGGGGGGGGGTGAAAAATAGACAGGTGATGGCTTAGAAGTGCCTTCTCTTTCAACGGCACTTTAGAACAATGAAGCCTGCTGTCATGGCATGGAGAGACAGCACTAGATGTGAAGACTGAAACTCCCTCGTCTTCTGACACCCAAGGGAATGGGAGCTAGGAGGAGAGCCCCACTTTCCTTCTAGCAGCGTAAGAGTGGTCACTGCTCACACGGAGGCTGCCCTCAAGAATCCACACCCTCTGAATCTGGAGACAGTCAGGAAACAACCACCTACTGAAACCTAAGAGGTGACCTAAGTCAGCACAGTCGGAGCAGCATCGTTAGTGGTCCTAAGATTCGGTGTGTAAACGTGTGGCTTCATGGACTTGGGAACCCACCGAGCCCAACAGCTAAGGGCTAGAATGTGAGGAATTAAAGTTACCACCTAACCAGCTGTATTCAGCTCATCTGTAAAGAAGAGAAGTGTCAATTGAAGAGAGATGTGTGATCAAGGAAAAGGAAGACTGAGGAATGTGAATGGGGATTTGTCAGTGTTTATCCAGCAGTGAACAGGAAATAAACGCTGTCCTAAGAAACACTTATTTCTGTTACTAAAAGAGCTCTACTCTAGGGTGCAGGGATAATTAACCTGGGGTGAGAGGCTGGCGTAAGATATAGCTGGTTAAGGACTAGAAGAGGAGTCTGAGAAGTTAACATAAGTCACATGAAGTTGTTTTAGCATCATTAAAGGTATTAAAGTCAAGCCTTTAAGTTACAACTGCCTTTGGGTACTTGCAGTGGACGCCACCCATCTGATTCGGGAAACTTGGGCATCACATGATTGGTAGACGTAAAAAGATGAGGGAAGGGACTGTCCTGTGCTTATAAAAATGGCCAACGGAAGACAGATCTCTATACTTTCTGAACAGGTCACTTGACCTGAGAGATAGCCCTGTTTCTTTCTGCACTTCTCAGGTCAGATAACAATCAAAGCCTGTATTTGGTGGGTGTTCCTTGGTCTTCCAGATCTGAACTGACTCCAGATCAGTTGGTCCACAAAACTGAGAACCAGTGCCTACACATTATTGCCCAAACCAAGCACCTCCCACCCTGAAATGTCTGACTCCAGCAGCGCTGCTCTCCTCACACCTCTGTCCCTGCCACAGCGGCCTTGAGTCTGCCTCCTGCTGGAAGGAAGGGTTGGAATGTGTGTCTTTGCTTTGTGGTGTATCATCAAGTCAACTCCTTTTTCATGTGTATATTTAATCTCTCCAATTAAGTCATCAGCAAAATCATGAGCGAGACCATGTCCTCAATGTCTTTTTATTATTGGTGAGCACACCACATTCCAGGCCCCGCACGGAGAGCTTTGCACAGCAGCACTGTGATGTAAGCATTATTTTCTTCATCTTACACAGGAAAAAGTCAGTGCATGAGTTGTTTAAGAGAGAGTTGGATAATTGGCCTGTGATTACCTACTTTGCAAGCAAGAGGGTTGGATTTAAGCACAGGCACTGTACTGCTAAGGGAAGGCAGTGTAGTATAATGGCTGAACAGATAAAAAGATATGCTCTCCAATTATTCAGTGTATTCTGTTACAGGTTTTGAAAGGGTATGATGTTGGTATAAGAATAGATGGTTTAAGAGAAGGGTAAATTCAGAAATAGACTCAGTCTGCATCAGAATTTATTTTTTTAATTGGGAGTTTTAGATTTGCAGACACTAACTAATATACATAAAATAGATAAACAACAAGTTTCTACTGAATAGCACAGGGAACTATATTTAATATCTTGTAGTAACCTATGATGAAAAAGAATATGAAAATGAATATATGTACGTTTCTATATGACTGAAATATTATGCTGTACACTAGAAATTGACACAACATGGCGAACTGAATACACTTCAATTAAAAAAAAGAATTTATACTCTAATGAAGCATCTCAAAACAATGAAACAATGGAAAACTCAGTAATGATGGAGAACCTGGCTAACCATTTAAGTAGGAAACGTTGTTAAGTTTCTAACCCATGTTATGTACGGGAGTGTGTGAAACATTCCAGTTAAAGATTCGAATAGGAACAGATCAATAATAAAAGTACTAGAAGAAAATATATATGAAATCAATAAAATCTTGGGCTAGGAATTACACCAAAGATAGAAATCATGAAGGGAAGTGATGGATAGTTTTGATCATAATTATT